GATCTATTTTTTGTAGGTGGTGTCAGCTGCGAAGAAGTTTAAGCTTTGTGGCCTTGACTCTGATTTGGAGAAGTTAGACAAAATGTTTGAGGGCATCATCGCTATAGGAAAATATGCATGCGTGCCAGTCAGACGGGTTTTGATGTCACCCATAAGAACCTGGCGGTCGATCTGTCGGCTGACTCGACTGAACTCCCCGATCCGGAAGTTGAGTCCACCTGTCGTACCAAGCAAGCCCGAGTGCAGAGTAAAAAGAAAGGCGGAGCAGCTTACCTCAGAACCCATATTTCACAACAGATGGCTTCCTCTATCCCTGACATAAGTTCAGTACCGGCTACTTCCATTCAGCAAGTCATGCAAATTTTGGATGTGGATAAGAAAATCGTTGAGGATTGGCCATTGTACTTATTTGCACTCGAATTGTTTGAAAATCTGATCCGTAGAGATTTTTTTGTTAAGATTCCAGAAGAAAAGAGGGTAGCGTATCAGTGACAATTTTATGAGCGGGACATTTGAAACAATTTTTTTTATTTGTTCTATTTGCTACTGTTTGGTGTAATTGTATTTCTTTGTTTCATTATATTGTTATTTGGTTATTTCACCTCCTTAGAGCTTTTCTCAATAATATTCATATAGGTTGATTATTTATAAATCATCACCGCTCATATATCACTACTGCTTGAAACATGATTTGTTCAAAATTTACTAATCTTATCAGCTACTACATGGATTCAGACGAAGATAGGCGGAGAAGGAGAAAAGCAGCAATCTATTTGATAAATGAATATTAGAAGACATATGTCCATCGCTCTTCATGTTTGACATCTTCGTTTATTGGGGACAAATGAGTTGGGGAATTATTTTTCGGACACCCAATTAGATTCAACAACATGTTACGGATGACCAAGGACATATTTACGGATCTTCTGGCAGAACTTAGCGGACGTCACGAACTTCATGGGTCGTTGAAGACGACTACACGCGACGTTTTAGCAATTACCCTGTACATATTAGCGCAGAATGAGTCAATGCGATGTACGATGGAACGATTTCAACACTCCTCTGAGATGATTAGAAGATATTTTTTGGTTGGTTTGAATGCACTTGTCAGCCTTTCTGTGCAAATTATCAAACCAACAGACCCTACTTTCAAACAGACGCATTCGAAGATTCTACACGATACACGCTATATGTCATTCTTTAAGGTAACTTTTCAAATTTAAATATGCATGCCTTATATTTTGAACTCGTTCATATTTGTATAGGATTGCATCGGAGCAATTGATGGAACCAACGTCGATGCACAGGTCCCAAATAGCGAAAAAATTGCATTTATCGAACGTTGCGGGTCGCCAACACAGAACGTCATGGTCATTTGCGACTTTAACATGTGTTTTACTTTTGTCATGCCCGATTAGAAGGGTAGTGTACATGACAACAGAATTTTCAAGGCGGCAACTCGAAATAGTGAATACAACTTCCACGCCCTCCTCCAGGCATGTTTCAGTTTCAAATACTTTCGTTATTAATTTTATGCGTGATACTATATGTGCAAAACATCATAGACAAATATTATTTGGTGGATATTGGTTATCTGCTGCAGCGAGGGTATCTCAAACTCTTTCCGGATACGAGATATCATATATCGGATTTTGAGCGTGTCAACAACATTACACGTGGCAGGAAGATGTTTAAAAAGCGACATTCTTCTTTATGGGGTGTCATCGAGAGTTGGTGTTTCGAAAAAGAAATAGGTTATAAACCGTGACATGTCATCTTACTCATTTACCAAACAGGTGCAGATTGTCACTATCACGATGGCTCTATATAATTATATTTGGTGGCATCCTTCCCGCAACGACACTGACTTCCGTAGAGCCGACGAGGATCAAGAGCATGTAACCCCAGAAGCATATGAGTTCCACCTCGAGCATTCACTGCCACGAGCGCAGAATGACATCCATTATCTGTTCTAAAGTGAGGGAAGGAACAAGCGAAATGGCTGAGCTGAGGAAACATATTACTGATATGTTAGCAGGAGGGTTATTGGATTTGTTTTTGTAAATTATTCAGCATTAAGTGTAATTAATTTCCTTAGAAAAAACATTTATAGCATTAGTGTTTGGTATCGAGCATTCAGATCTACATATATTTTATTTAGAGCCACATTTACTTTACCTTTTATGAAGCTAGTAAGAAAAATTTACATTATTTCAAAATTCATTTTTTCAATTACTTCTTTTATTAAATTCAATTCTTGTCATCACTAATGAATTGTATTTTGCAGGAATCTAGAAGAATGAGCACAAGAGTTTAAGGGACATTAGGATTGCAGACTACCCAACTAACGGACTGCAGACTGCAGACTACCCAACTAACGTCACAACAAGCTCCCAGTTACGAGAGACAGTTCTACAGGTGCCCTAGGAGCATGGCTGAGAAATGTGACTTCTTCCGGAGGGCAGACAATCCATCGGATTCCACTGTAAGCAGTGATAGCGATTGGACAATGTCACTGGAAGACGTGGCACGGGACATGCACAGCCCGCATGCTAAAAACAATTTAATCATTTTATTAAATGTATATTTAATATTTCTTAACTTTTTCTTGCACTCTTGGTACTCACTGTTAAGTGAGTTGTGTATCTGAATTTTTATACTGTTTTGAACTGAATTTTTGCTTTTAAAGTATCAAATATATGGGTGTCGCGGTATTGTTACAAACAAATTTACTAAACAGGAGCAGAATGATCATTTTTTTGAGAAATAGCTGCCCCCCAGCTGTTTTCACAAAGCTGCAACAAACAGATAGTCAACTTCCCCGCAGCAGCAGCTTTCTAGGACAACGAAGCTTTAGCTGAAAAAACTGTAGCTGCCCCAAACATGCCCTTAAATGAATGCATGTCATAGTAATGAGGGGGCCATTGGTCTCTTTGCAAAAAAAAGAAAACATATTCATTATCTATAACTAAGAGCTATAATCTCTTCCAACTTTCAAAACTCTTTTAAGTGAAATAGTACGATCTGCCACATTTTTATTGCTCTATTCTGCTACTTACCTACCTTCTTTTCCTCTCTCTCTGCCCTCATCGCTCTTTAAGAGGTGTATTAACAGAGCCCAACAACACCATATTCTTATTCAAATATAGTGTAAAAAGCAACTTCATTCTCAACTTTATGTGGTGCTAATTGACTCCTTAATAATGGCAGCAAAGAAATGAATGACTACCTCTCAAACCTAGTGCCAACTATAATGTACATCACAGCATAGGGCTTTGTCCTCTAAATGAGGTTGAATTCCAATCTTTTAGCTTGCTTAATTCCTAAGAGAACATGAGGATAGAATTGAAAAGCTTTTTTTCATCTTCAAAGATAGCCGTAATATCCATCTAAATCCAACAAAAAGATAAATGAAAAAAATTTATATTTCATACTGCAGAGTTTTAAAATGTGAAAGTTGTTCAATAAGGGCATCTAAGCAATTAACTAAGTGTAAGTTGAATGTTTTATCAGCTAAAAATTTGTATTTCTATGACTAAAACACGAGGAATAAGTTATTACACAACTGGCAAGCCTCATCTTCCAAAATCCCAACTGTTTAAATATTCAGTGCATCAAAATGAGCAAAATTTCGGTGAATTCATAATATACCAGATTAAGGTTATTATAATAAGTTTGTCGATCAAGGCTCCTAAAAAGCTCTCCCTCTAAAAATACTAACCCATAAACCAAAAGAAAAAGAAAAAGAAAGATGAAATTATAGAGAAAATGTCATCACATGTAGGATTACCAGCAAAGATTAAATAATTTAAAACTGAAAAAGGGCGAGGTGCATAAGAAAAATGAAAAAAAAAAGACAAACTTCAATGAACTGACCAGTACACACAGAATTCAACGACAACGAACAACCATTATAGCAAAATACCTTTACATGTAAAAGATTATCACGACTAAGGAATTATATGAACCATCCTAATGCTAGGTCAAATTGTGCATGTTAACCCTTCTATATTCTCTTCGCTCGTAAAATAATTTCACCAATGAACCTGATGAATTAAACAAAAAAAATAAAAAATAAAAAATAAAACTTTAAGCTCGCAAGTAATTATGCGTTTAGTACACACAAGTTTGAGAAATTTACAATGAACAAATGAACAAAGGCATGAACTAATGTGATGTAAAAACTTGAAGGTATATGAATGTCGGCACAATTAAACCATCCATTTTAGGAAAATAGCAAAAAACAAGTGCACATACACAATTGTGTAGCTCCCTCAACCCAGAAGCACTGGATACACAAAATTGGTGTGCTTGATAGTTTATTAAGATTGTCATACCACATTAAGCGATAGATTTCTAAATGCCATCAACTTTGAGGTGCTTTCTAATAAACAAAGCAATAATTTTCAAAAAGCAAAATATGCATACTTGGTTCATATATTCACTCATGAGAATAGAAGCTTTAAGCTTCTATTTATTTATGCTTGATGTCAATTTTTCATCTCATGGCTGGATATGATTGTGTAAAGATATTACTAAACAATATATTAGTGATGGCACAAATAGGTAATAGCCTTTCAGGAGAGAAAAAAATGCTTACAGCTGATATTGGGTCAAAACTGAAGGCTTTCTAGAGGTCAAAATTTGTTAAGGAAAATTGGATCACCAATAGAAAATAAACTTATTAATCGTGGTATAACTAATGTCTTCTTTGTATTCATAACAATGAATGTTCAAAAAAGACAAATAATACTTTTAGTATATAATCTAGAATCAAATAATGGCTCAAACAAACTACTTTGTAGCGATTTATGGAATAAAACGTTTTCCTGTCAAATGAAACCGGGTTATAATATAAGCAGCAGTCCATGGAACTACAAAGCAATGAATACTAAGCTGATCCTCATTACATTTCTAAAAAACCTCAAAACATAAAAAAAGTTCCTTTCAATAAAAAACACCCTCGAAGTACTTCAAACTGCACCAGTAGGAACCCAAACCTGGAGAGGATCTGTTTGTCCAGGTCCATCTTCAAATTGAAGGCAGATCCATAAGTGACATCCGTAATTAACCGCTTCTTCTCCTCCAAGTCCTTCATAGCCTGCAAAATACGCAAAACACCGAAAGTAAGAATTAGATCATATCTTCCATCTAGGGGTCAAATAAAACAAAAGGACCGCATTGATGAGATCATTGAGAGCAAAATAATTTGGACAAATTTCGTAATTACCGTCTCCCGCAGGGTTTCAAGGGGATGGGATCCAACGATTTCCCTCTTAACACCTTCCAATCCAAAGCGAAGGGTATCTTGGTATGCGGCCACATCGTGAGCGATCGACTTCGACGCCATCTCTCCACGCTTTAGCACTGCACGTCTGTTTCTCCTGGCCGCTCACCGCTTTCGATTTCTATCGGGTCGACGAAACAAAATACTGCTTTGGCAGCAAGAAACCAAGCAAAACGAAATCGGAATGGGTAACGTTAAACCGATATCACCGCACACATCACCTGGATGGAGTTTTGTATAACCAGCTTATCTTGTTTGTGGGTCAATCTTAGAGTTTGACCAGTGTCATGTGTTTAGTGTCGCATTTTTCAATGAGCAAACAAAACGCGTGAACCAAACAGTACCGCGACGTTTTCAAAAGCATCCTCGCACTTATAAGCTGCCCCAAACGAGTCATAGCGCAAACAATCCAATTCATGTTCTTGTTTTCCCAAAGAGTCCTAACTTATTAGGAGCTATTAGAAATAAGTTGATGAATAAGTAGAGGTTTATTTGATAGATTATTGTGTTGTTGTTAATTTTATTTTGAAATCTATTTTGTCGTTATATATATAACATATTTGAATAACTACAAATTTCAAAATAATTTAAAAGGAATGATAGAAATAGATCCTAGTACCAAAAAAACATCTGTACAGTCTAAAATCCACTAGTACAAAAAAAGATTGTTAGTTATTTGAAGCATATAACTACAATAATGAGAACAACTGTAACAACCAATAAGCCTAAAAGGAATGATAATATCTTTCAATGCATGATCACAATCTGAAGAAAACTCATCAATGTCATCAACCCAATGAAAAAACCAGCAATCTTCAGGAGTCCTGTTTCTGAGACAACTAAAATCTTCACTCATAGATGTCTTCCATTCTTGATTGATACTGAACGCACTTATCACCACAATGGCGGAGCAAAACTCTCAAAATACCTAATACTCTTAAACTCATGTTTCTTGTTTTCATAATACAATATTAACAAAAAAATAAACATATATGCGACAGAAACATAAAAAAAAAATTAAACATTTTTAAAAAATGGTAAAAAAGCCTCCAAAATAGAGCTCAGAATCAAAGACATGATATCAAAACGGCTCCATCCAAGATTTCTAATTGTGTACTTTAAACTTAAAGACAGGCAGAATCTGTGACAACCTTGTAATGTTGACTTTTGAATTCACAATTGGTAATCGGTTGAGTCTTTTAATTTGTTTTAATTTATCATTACTCTATAATACATTTCACAAGAAAAGTGAAATGTGTTACAGAAACAAACTCCTAAACCATCACTGCAAAAGAGCAATTCATGAACCCAAGAAACCAACTGGTTCATAAACCAACCAAAGCAATAAGATTATATAAAAATCAAGAAACATGCTAGATAAGTGAACGGCTTATATTTCCTCATTCTCAATCAGAAGAAGCTAAAAAAAGGAGAGATACATGAGCATTGTTTTTCTCTTTCTCTGAGGAGTTATGTTGGACTTGTTTTATATATTCATGTACTAATGCTAGCAAGTCAATTTGCTTGTTGTTGCCTCTTCTTAAGTCTAGAGAAACATTTTGTGGGGAGGAAATAAAATACAACTAGCTTGTATGATTGAGTAGGATGCAAGTAGAAGCTAATAACTTTTCAAACATATAACCATCAAGTTTGGATCAGAACATAGGCTATCCATCAACATAAATCTTTCAAACAAAAAAAGAGTCGTTGTTAAAATTTCTACCCCCAAAATATTTCTCTAGACTGAAGAAAAGCATGAGCAAGAAAATTGGCATTTTGACATCAGAATAAGAGTATATAAACAAGTCGAACATAGATTCTTAAAAAGACAAAAAATAGTGCACATTTATCTCTAATTCCCCAACTTCTCTTGATTAAGCATGAAGGAAATAGAAACTGCTAACTTATCTAGCATATAACCTTCTAGTTTGCATCAAAACAGAGGTATTTCCAATGGTAAAAATCTTTCAAATAAAAAAAGAACTATTAAAATTTCTCCCCACAAAATGTTTCTCTAGACTGAAAAAGAGGTAAGAGCAAGAAAATTGACCTTCTCACATCAGAACAGGGATATACTAAACAAGTTCAACATAAGTTCTAAAAAAGACAGAAAAATAGTGCACATATATTTCTCATTCTATAACTTCTCCTGGTTGGAAATAGGAGCTGTTAACTTATCAGACATATAGCCTTCAAGTTAGCATCAGAACATAAGTCTTTCTAATGGTATAAATTTTTTAATTAAAAAAAGTCACTACTGAAATTTCTCCCTATAAAATATTTCTCTAGACTGAGGAATATGCAAGAGTAAGCAAATTGACCTTCTAACATCTTAATAAGAATATATAAACCAAGTTCAACATAAATTCTAAAAATGATCGAAAAACGATCCAATTATATCTCTCCTTCTATAAGAAGCTGCTAATTTATCTGGCATATAACCTTCAAGTTTGCATCAAAACATAGGCTTTTTGAATGATTTAAATCTTTCAAATAAAAAAGAAACCACTATTAAAATCTTTCCCCCCAAAATGTTTCTCTAGACTTAAGAAGAGGCAAGAGAAATAGGAAAAACAAGTCCAATATAAAATCTTAAAAAGATAGAAAAATAGTGCACATATATCTCTCCTTCCATAACTCATGATTGAGCAGGAGAGAAACAAAAGATACTAATTTATCAAGCATAGAACTTTCAATTTTGCATCAAGACATAGGGTTTTCCAGTGTATAAATCTTTTAAATAAAAAAAGATTCACTACTAAATTTTTTTCTCCCTATACTGAAAAAGAGATAAGAGCAAGCAAATTAACTTTCAAACATTAAAACAAGAATATATAAAACAAATCCAATATAAATTCAAAAAAGAATTAAAAGAGTGTACATAAATCTCACCTACCATAACTTCTTCCAATTGAGCAGGAGAAAAGAAGATGCTAATTTATCTGGCATATAACCTTCAAATTTGCATCAGAATATTGACATTTCCACTAGTATAAATCTTTTAAATAAATAAATACACTAAAATAATATTTAGTTTTAAGTATATATTTTATGTTTATTTTTGGTGATATTGTACTTTAAATAATGGTATTTTCATGTTTTTGTTGCAAATATATCAATTTTGGGTATTTGGAGCAAAAGTAGCAAAAATGACAAAATTTGGAGCCAAAATAGTGAATTTTGGTATTCTAGCGCAAGATGCGCCAACATACAGAAAACTGACGCAAGATGCGCCAACATACAGAGAACTGGCGCAAGATGCGCTAGATTAGCGCGAGATGCGCCAAAACCTATAACAGCGTGTTCCTCAGCAAACGGGTGCAAGATGTGACAGATTAACACAAGATGCGCCATTTGACAGAGAGCTAGTGAAAAATGCGCCAGATTTGGCGTAAGATGAGTCAAAAGATGACTTTTTGTATATTAAGGCGGTTCAAAATGAATTTTATGCAAATTTCAAAAGGGACACTTGTTCTAAGTACCCCTTGGAGTGATTCAATGTATCTAGACACTTTGGAAGGTTCTTTTATGAAGGGATATGTCTCTTGGATCAATGAACATGTCTTTTGAATTCAAAAGAGTTGACTTTTAGATAAAATTTTGGAGGGAATTTTGAATTCTTTTTGGAGGAAGGCAGCCTTTTATAAAAGAGAGCAAAGTCTAGGGCTTGAAGAGGCTTTCGAGAGTGGCGTGTACTAGCATAGTAGATAACCTTGAAAATCTTATCATGTTTTTGTCCTAAAATAGCTCCAATTGCATAATCACTAGCATCACATATATCACTATCACATATTAATTCAAAAGGTTTTTCCCAATCTGGTGAAATAACAATTAGTGCAGTGACTAATTTTTCTTTTAATAATTCAAAAGCTTTTAGCCACTCTTTATCAAAATTAAAAATTACATCTTTTTAAAGTAAATGACATAGAGGCTTATCAATTTTTGAAAAGTCAATATATCACCTGTAGAATACAGCATGTACTAAAAAATTCCTAATTTACTTCACACTTGTTGGGTGAGGTAAATTAGCAATCAGTTGAATTTTTGCAGGGTCTACTTTCATACCATTTTCTGAAATTTGATGTCCCAAAACTATTCCTCCTGCTACCATAAATTGACATTTTTCCCAATTAAGGACTAAATTTGTTTCTTCACAGCGCTTAAGAACTTTTGGAAGATGTTCTAAATATGATTCAAATGAAGTTCCAAACACTAAAAAATCATCAATACAAAACTTCAATCCCTCTTTCAATTAAATCACAAAGATCAGTCATCATGCACCTTTGAAATGTAGCAGGTTCATTATATAAACTAAAGGGCATTCTTCTAAAAGCAAATGTACCATAAAGACTGGTAAAAGTTGTTCTCTCTTAATCCTCAGGAGCTATTTGTATTTGGAGATAACCAGTATATTGATCCCAAAATTGCTTAAATGCAACAGTATAACAATAATTCTGATTATATTTTTCATTTATATTTTCTTATTTGGCAACAAAACTAAAAACTTGATCTTGAAGAAAAATAAGAATTTAACTTTTAATTTATATATATTGGGATACTATGCAAGTATATGTATTGTTATCAAGTAATATAAAACTTTTTTATTAAGACCTGAAAATCGAACCCACAGGGAAGATATGTAATATGCACTTTTTGGAAAACTTTTTATTTTTTAAAAAATAATTATTTAAACTAAATACTTTTTCGCAGTAAAGAAAGTTTAAATATTTTTGGTAATTTTAATATTTTGATAAAAAACAAAACAAACTTAAAAAGATAACTTGAGTTTTTGTAGATGAAAATCACTAAATATGAAAATATTTTTCTCCTTATCATGAATCAGTAATAAGTATAGGAATTATATTGTTGAAGTATGCATATTGTGTTGTGTCAAACAGGAGCAATAATATTCTTTACCCTAATTAGAGATGCTATAAAGAACATTGGATAATTTAAAGTTTGAATAGTTCTGAAGACCGACTAGGCAGGGAAAATACTAGCTCTCACTCTAGAGTTCCCTTGATTCCCTCCACATTCGGGCTAACATCTCGTATCAAAACCTAAAATAATAAACCAAGTTGGGGGCTTTAACCTGTCACTTTAAAGTCCTCTAACTTTACACCCTTCAATGAATATTTCCCTATTTATTTGCACTCAATCATATGAATTACATTCTCATTCATACAACCTCATGTGATTCTTTCCAATTGTT